TAGACCTCAACCAAAAGTGAGGTCAACATGTAGGTATTCTTTTGTAGATATCTGATTAAAATAAGCTCTATAGGTTTTTTTCAACTTACCTGCCTAGTCTCTGTCTTAATCCATTATTTTCCAATCCCTCATCTACTCCGAGTCATTCATACTATTCAAGTAGTAGGGCCCATTGGAAAAGGGAATCCTAATAAGATGACCTGACAGATTGGTGACTCCAAGTTACAAATTAAAAATAATAGAAACAGATATGGCGTGAACCAATTTGAAGATTGCTCCAATTGACGGAACTGCTTATAAGCTACAAGCCATATCCTTTCTGGCTTTCTTACGCATGGGCTCCCACTTGAAAGCCTCATTACTTCTCTTCAAGGGAAAGGGATGTGGGACATCTAATTCCTTCACCGGCTCCTTCACTCGACGACATACCCTTACTTCATTGGGGGAAGATGAGGCCTCACTGTTAGGATGAGGTCAAATCTCCCGGCGTGGAACTAGAGGAGATAGCAGGAGTTATCTGATTGACTTTGTCCCTCTCAAACATAGTAACATAGGATGGGTTCCTAACCTTTGAATCCGATGAAGCGACGACAATAGGTGGTGCGCTTGATTTCGAAGAAGAAAGTGCTGCGACCACAACTTTGTCTAAAGTCCCTTCAAAATTGAGTGTTCCCCCGTCACCTCCCCCTGCATCAACAAAATGAGAAGCACATTTTCAAGCGATAGAAGTGACCTTATCTTGAATAACAACAATATGATCAGGCAGGGTGACAAGCTATCTTGAGGCCACGCTGTAAGAGGGCGGGTCCTCGTCTCCTATAGGATTACCTGACCCCGAGGAACACTTTTGCTCCTGCCATATGCGTCAGAACATTGTTAATTATTTATTTTTTATTTTTGGAGAACCATCAACGGACCAAAGAAGGTCTTACATACCCGTAAATCTATAAAGGACTTCTCTCCATTTTATGTCGAAGTGCACCCACTTTCTTGTAGTAGCGACTGAGGAAGGACGATGGTCACCGCTTCTTCCAATTCCCTTTCACTGACCTCAACACCTTTAACAAATAGAGCTTGCTGGCCTTCAACACATACATTCATGCCAGGCTTAGGGACCATGGACTCCTAACGAGGGACTTTTGGCATCTGCTCCTCAGGGTCCCCCGACGAATCAACCTAATCTACTGACACAGGTTAAAACCCCAATAACCCACTTTAGCTAGACTTTGGGGGTCCACGGCTATCTGTCTCGAACTATCAGCCATGATGCAACTCAATTTTCTAGGAGAAAATGACAACAACAATTGCCATACCAAGCCCATGACTCTTTATATAGTGCGCTGAGCACAAAATCCAAAGGGAAGTTGATTACCAAATAAATTTTTTAGATTTTAGTGTCATTGATCATTAATAATTTTTTTGTCCTTATCGTAGCTGCTGATGTCAAGGAGCAGAAAAAGTCTGAGAGTTAATATGTATACGCCAAACCTATCAACACGAATCTCAAAGCCATCAAACATTATAGGATAATGGTCGAACAATCAGAGCATCAACTTGAAGAAACATGATCTGAGCTGACCATTAGCAACCAATTGCTCCATTAGAGTCAACCAACATACGATGCCAAAAGACTCCATCGACAGATCACGACTATAGCTCCAACAGCCCAAGCTACTAACAAGGGCGTTTGATCGCAACTAGTTGACCAATTGACTTTTATATCGACAGGCGTGGTCTTCATTCAACCGATCACCTCAACCGACTGAACCCAAGCTAGTCGACCGGCTAATTACCACCATGTTCAAATTCCAATTATAAACCCGATTTAGTAATAAATCAACAAGAATAATTAACATATTCACTGAATTAAAAACTAACTTCTATAACCGTTTCTTTATTACTGTAATTGTATAAATACACCACTATAAATAAGAGACAAAAGGATGAATAAAATGACCTCTTCTCGTTTCTTTGTAGAGACTTCCTCAATTACTCTCTCTCGTCCTACTTCTCACTCTCGAGTTGTGTTTTCACAAAAAAAAAACAATTTAGTATTCAATAAATACAAATCCTAATACTAATACTATAATAATTATAGAATACAAATCTTAATTAATATATAATTTTTTGTTAAGAGCTAAATTTAAAGGGTTTGCAACAGCTGATGATTTAAATCATGTTAATTTTACTTTTATGCCATTTTCCCTCGATATTTTACGTTGTTTTAATAATTGTCATCTTTTGTCCGTCTAACAAACTCATAGCTATAAATAATCCCGGCTAAAACCAATTCCTAAACACGGTAACCCCAGCATCAGATTCTTGCTCGTTCGAGTCTGGACCTCCCCATTTCCTCTCGTTCGCTTTATTCGTTTATCGCCTCGGATCTCTTGTTCGTCATTAGTTGACGCTCCGGCGAATCGACCCGGACCTCGGTGGCGCTCCAGTGGCAGCGCCGGTGAATTCCGATAAGCGTTGCGGTGGCTCACCAGCATGACATCATCCGGCGAGAGGCTGGAATTAGTGAAGCTTTGCAGTTCGCGTAATTGGTCCAAAGCCATCCGCATACTCGATTCTGTTCTTTCCCGATCGTGCTCCATTCAGGATCTCTGGTATTCATGGATTCCCCATCTCCTGTCTGTATCTTTTTTCAGCTCATGTTATTCTAATCAACAGTTTTCATTTTTTGGCTGTCGAAGCAATCGCGCCTTTTGTTACAGCCAGTTGGAACTGCACAAGCACGTCATCAAGGATTGTGATAGGGCTCTTATGCTCGATCCTGCTCTTCTTCAAGCTTATATACTTAAAGGTTAGTCGATTATACTGGATTGGGGAATTCCTCTAGTTCTTTGAATTAAAGGAGATTCACTATCATGCCGCCGAATTAATGCCTTTCTAAAAGCCGGACATTACTTTTATATACGTTTCTGAAACATTGATGGTTGCTAGTGTGATAATGTACCAACTGAACTTCTCTCTGTCATCGGAAGCTTGTTCTCTAACTTATTGCAATCTGCTATTAGGATGTTAGAATTTATTTTCAACGCAAGCAAGTATCTACTGGCAAGGAATAATAAACTATTGTCCGCTGTTAACCTTGTCATCAATGAATTTATAAGCCATGTGGAGGAGCTCTTTTTCGGTCATGAGACCTGGCGGTCCGCAACTTACGCTGACCAATTAAATTTAGCCACGTGTAAAATGTGGGACCCGGTTGTCCACGTAATTTAAAAAAAAAAAGTTCGCTGAAGCCCGACCCGATGTACGAGCTCGCGCCTCTTCGAGTAGGAACTTCGAGTATCCCGCCATTTAGAACGTCGAAGAAGACGTTTCGAAAATACTTTTCGCTAGGGTTTTTCTACTACGTTTTCGCTGTTTGCTCTGCTAAGGTTTCACATTTCCCTCGTTCGATAGCTTCAAAGTCGTAAAACAATGACATTTGATGATCCGGAGTATGCGCAGACCGAAGAGAGCTCAAGAACAGTATCAAGAGAGGCTGAGAAGGCAGATGTTGAACAATCAATGAAGTTAAAGAAGCAGAGGAAGAAGGAGACGAAGAGGATGAAGCAGGGCATTGAAGGGTAAAACTTGTCCTGGTAATTGTCATCATTTTATTCTTAGGTTATTTTTAGATTATTTTTTTGGTTATACATGGATTACTTAGAAGTGTATTCTCATGTTACTACTGCGTTAATCAGTTAATATTGTGTTGTTTCTGCGTTATTCATCGTTTATTTTGGAATTTATTCCTGGTTTATTTTTAAGTTATTATTGGGTTATTCTTGAGTTACTTTGAAGTTTAATACTTATTGACAGCTATTCCAGTTTATTTCTGAGTTATTTTTAGGTTATTATTTGGTTATTCTTGAGTTACTCTGAAGTTTAGTACTTATTGACAACTATTCCATGTTATTCCTGTGTTATTTTTAAGTTATTTGTATGTTATTTTTAAGTTAGGCGTATGTTATTCTTTGGTTAATCATGAGTTTTTTTAGGTTATTCCTAAGTTATTTTTAGCGTATTGTTTTGTTAATTTTGAAGTAATGCGTAGGTTATTCTTTGGTTATTCTTGGGTTATTTTTAAAGTATTGTTTTGTTAATTTTTAAGTTTTGCGTAGGTTATTTCTGAATTATTTTTAATTTACTTGAAGGTGATTTTTAAGTTATGCGCAGGTTATTCGTAGGTTATTCCTGGGTTTATTTTTAGAGTATTGTTTTGTTAATTTTGAAATAATGCGTATGTTACTTCTGGGTTATTTATAGATTATTTTTAACTTATGCGTATGTTATTTTTTGGTTATTCCTGGGTTATTTTTAAGGTATTGTTTTGTTAATTTTTAAGTTCTGAGTAGGTTATTCGTATGTTATTTTTGGGTTATTTTTAAGTTACTTACAAGTGATTTTTAAGTTATGCGCAGGTTATTCGTAGGTTATTCCTGGGTTATTTTTAGGGTATTGTTTTGTTAATTTTGAAATAATGCGTATGTTATTCCTGAGTTATTTGTAGGTTATTTTTAAGTTATGCGTAGGTTATTATTTGATATTCCTGGGTTATTTTAAGGTATTGTTTTGTTAATTTTTAAGTTATGCGTAGGTTATTTGTTTGTTATTACTGTGTGATTTTTAGGTTATTTGTAAGTTATTTTTAGGTTATTCTTAGGTTATTTCTGGGTTATTTATAAGGTATTCGTAGGTTATGCCTGAGTTATTGTCAGTATTAATAACATGCATCTTATTCCTGTAGGTTGATGAATAAACAATCAATAAATTGTAGATGCCGACTATCAGCAGTTAGAGAGGTTTTGGATAAGGTTCGGTCAATTGTCTCTCGAGAGACATTGTCAAATCTGGAAAAAATGAAGCTTAATCAGTTTTTTGATCTCCCCCCTATCCTCAAGATCACATCCTAACTATGCACTTATTGAATTGTTGGGATACAAATAAACTGACTTTCAGATTGGGGGAAAGGAGCTGAGTTTTGATGCAAACCAAGTTGCTTTGTTGATTGACATGCCCAACAGAGGTCCTACAACAACTTGGGCTAAAAAACCCGTCAATGATGTAGATGTAAGGCGGGCAAAGAGTGAACTATTGAAGAGTTCATTCGCTACTCTTGATGAACTTATTATTAAATTTTTGTTGTCTAATTTATTATTTCCTTCCAACAATTTTAGTGTACCCATAGGAATTTATTCATTTGCTGAGAATGTAGATAGTTTTTCTTCATTTAATTGGGCCGCAACAGTATGTGACCACATAATTGAACAGGTCAATGCTTGCGCCATCAAAATAAGGATGGGTCAGCCATTGGGATACATGAATGAGTTTGTTCTTCTTCTAACGGTTAGTATATTGCCCAACCTCAGTTAAAAAATTTAATTTTTTTCTTATTTAGGTTATATAAATTTTTGATTTATTAATCATAATTATGCAGTTGTGGTTTTATGAGCGCACACTTATGATAGCCCCGACTTATCCTGACGCCAAACTTTGAATGTTGAGGTGACCAATAAATACGGGTGGAACCCTCCAAGGATCCATTTAATCTTTAAGAAGCTTAGTCCTGTACAAGTGAATGATATTAATGACTATTATAAGTTCAGGATTATGTTTGGTTTTGAGTATATTATTTAATTTTTATAATGAATGTTTTTGTAGGTTCTTTATTCTTTTGTTGATTTAATAGACGAGGAACACAGTTTACTTGCCCTCTAGTTGACTTGATCTCGTCTCCCGCAAAGTCCATTGGAGAATCCAAAATTCACACTCATCCAACAACACCAGTCTCATGGTGCTATTCCTTTTGTACAGACTCGCAGCATCCCGCCACCTACACATTCACATTTGGGTTTTGAAGATATATGAGAAACTCTGAGGGAGCAACAACAAATTTTATTTCAATTGAATGATTCTGTAAATAACCTAAAAGCTAGTATGGAGTATATAAAGATGGAGGTGAAGACCGACATCAAAGAAATAATGAAAAAAATAAATAAAGTTCCCATGAAATCTCCTGTAGATTCTGAATTTACTGGGAAGAAAGAAAGTCCAGAAAAGGAAGAACAACCACCTGCTCATATTGAGGAAGCGTGGGAACAAGAGTGGGGGCCCGATATTCTTGAAGAAGAACAACCAATAGGTAAAATGACTGCCTTTGATGAAGCTGCAGCTGATAGCGAAATAAATAAAGGTGTCGGGGAACCTGGAGAAGGCATCACTAAAGACCCAATTGGTAGCTTAGTCCGAAGGATCAAGTCCAGAGGATCGAGAAAAAAGAGGACAATTAGTTCTCCATTTGTTGTTGTAAAAAGAAATGAAATGGAAGAACTTCCGACTTCTAAGATAGATGATTTATTACAACATATTTATGATTCTTCTACACCGATTACCATACCATCTCCACGGCTCGATGAAACTAGGGAAGAGGAGGCTGAAGAAGCTTGAGAGGAGGTACAACCGGGAGCAATTGTTCCATACGAAGGTGCCCTCTCTTGTAAAGCCGTAGAGTTCCACGGCAGAGAACTATTACCATCACACATGCAAGAGGTGATAAATACTTGTTTAAAAAAGTACAAAGAAAGATATGTAAAAATAAAACACTTTTTTGTCAACTGTTTATTAAATCTAATAAAAATTATTCAATCAATATGCAGGGATGACATAATAATTGCTCAGGGTCACATTCATTTAAATCGAAATGACCTTGAAGCACTTTGGGACAATAAAGAAGTTGGGGTATAACATATAGATATGTTTGCCATTGGATTAGGTAACCGTAAGCATCAGTCCCCTGATTCTCTTAGACTCTATTTGTACGTCTCTCCGGCACATTGGGTAAGTAATAAAATTCTCATCAATGTTAGCTGTTCATGCACTTTTAAATTCATTTATTTTGTATATGCAAAGGTTCAGATACCATCCTCTACGAGATATTGTTGCCTACGTCATAGTGGAAGCTGTATCTCAAGCAGAGACAATTTTAGTTCCAACAATTAATAATAGACATTAGATACTACTTGTTGGGAACCAGAAGGACCGCAAGTGGAGATTCTACGACTCATTGCCTAATAAAATGCATTTGGGAGTCACCCGCGACGTGGTAAAATTCTAAGCCTCATTTAACTAACAACTGACATAAACTGTTTATTCTTTCACTGTTTTAAACTACCATTTATATTACCAGATAAGACATTGGGATGTTATCACAACAAGAGACATTCTCACACAAAGTAATAGCGTCGACTGTTTGTAAATATATGGAAGCAATTATACAGAAAGACAAGATTAAATGGAAAGACCATCAAGACCGGCAGACTGAGATGCCTCAATTTAGAGCAGAGCTAGTATATGAAATCTGTAGATATAAATTATTTGGAGGATAAATGTATCTCGGAACTTTGATTCGGAACTTTGATTGTCTTTATGTTTTACAGGCTGAATGACTATGAAATTTGGCAGGCTTATAGCCTCGAATTTGGTCTATATGATTGTCTATTGTGTTTGAAATGCGAAATGTATATCTGTTTGATATTTTATTGCAGGGCTAAATGTTTAAACTGCTGAATGACCTTATGTATTCTTGGGGTATTGTTAGTTTACGGTTGATGTATTGTTAAGTTACGGTTGAGATATTGTTAAGTTATTGTTGAAGTATTGTTAGGTTATTGTTGGGGTATTGTTAGGTTATGCTTGGGAGGTTATGCTTGGGGTATTGTTAGGTTATGCTTGGGGTATTGTTAGGTTGCGGTTGATGTATTGTTAGGTTATGGTTGATGTATTGTTAGATTATTGTTGGAGTATTGTTAGGTT